AAGGTCCTGGTCGGTTTTTGCCACTGGGTCTGCTGATAGACTCTGTCCCTGACACCAAGGACACCTGGAACTTGCCACCTTCCACACAGGCATCTGCAAGCCAGGAAAATTCAGAAAAACAATACCGGGAACAAAGGAGCCCAAGAAAAAGAAAACACATTAAACTTTCAGGAGTCAGATGGTCCAGAGGCAACAGAGGAGGGTGAAAGTGCAGCTAAAATACACACTCAGAAGAGGGGGAACCGGCCTCTGTTCCTGTTGGGTGCCCTGTAGCCTGGGGCAGGGCAGGGAGCATCACTTTCCCAGGCTCTGAAGAGCTCAGGTTTGAGGGGGGCAGGGCAGACGGGGGTTGGCATTCCCAACCCCACACTCCAGGCCAGTCTGAAGGGAGTGAGCAGAGCACCCCTCTGACCCCACCCCTATGTGAGTCTTCTCATAGCTGAGCTGGGCTGTCGCATACCCCTTAATCCCAGGTCCTCGTCCTGAGACGTTACCTGGAGAGAAGACCCATGGGAGCTCCGTGTTCTGCTTGCCGGTAGGAGCACGACAGACACACTCCCAGCCTCAGATGAGAAGGAATGACCCAAATGGGGGTGGGGGGAGGTAGGAGGACAATCTTCTTGTTGTTCCTCCAAGAAGCCGCAAGAGCTCTGCCTGGTCAGAGCTCTCTTCCTTGTTTACCCGTCCTGGAGTGATAATGTCTAGGTATCTCCTGGCTCACTCCTCACTTCCTTAGAGTTTCAGACTTCACTGCCTTAGGAAGGTCTTTTTGAGCCATTGTAGAAAAATTACCATCCCACTGGGCTCTCCGTGTCACTGGGTTTCCTCGCTCTCCTTTATTTTCTCCAGGCCCTATGGAACTGCCTGACATTAAATTGTAAACTTACTGGTCGCCTCCAGGATGCGAGGAGGGAAAGGACGCAAGATCCATGAAGGCAGAGCTTTGCTTCTTTCATTCCCCTCGTTCCCCAGCACGAGTGCAGGGCCTGGAGAACAGGCCCTCAATAAACA